TCTCGCGCTCGCTCTTTCTCTCTCTCGCTCGCTCTTTCTCTCTCGCGCTCGCTCTCTCTCTCGCTCGCTCTCTCGCTCGCTCTTTCTCTCTCGCGCTCGCTCTCGCTCTCTCTAGCTCGCTGTCTAGCTCGCTCGCTCGCTCGCTCTATTTTTTATGAGTAATGTTTACATTTTTTAAGTTACAAAAAATCATGACAGATTTTAATTATTAGAATCACAGCAGGGTTTAGGCTTGATTTGTGCAGCAGAAACTTTAAAGAAAATGCTAAATAGCTCTTATCTTAATTTATCCATGGCCATAATCGTTTTAAGTGATTTTTCTCAACTTACTTCAATGCGAGCTGACCTTAGTGAGAGTAACTACGAGGTGAACCCTTAGTTACTTGTTTGGAGCATTCTTTTGTTTTTTTGTAGAGGTATAGTATTTCTATTTAGTGTAGGCTGAATTCGAATTTCAATCCGAAATATTGGAATTTGACGAACCAAATTCAAAAACATACCACAATAGAAGCTAAGGAAGATTTGCTTCCAAAAAAATCAAAGAAACTATGAAGTTTCTTATGTTCGGTTTAAAGATTTGTGCCAAAGTAAGGACGTGAAGATGTTCAACAAGCAAAATGGAGGTTCTTCACAGACTGTGGGAGTAATTAATATGTATTTATTTCTATTTTTTGTTAACATTTCAAGTTCATAATGTTTATCTTGTTTTCTTGTGCTTGTAATGAAAACACCCTAGGGGCAGAAGTAATGGTTGTAAACATTACTTCTGCCCCGCAGGAGCAAATGACGTACTGCTATCCCACTTTGGGTAGTCTAGAAATTAAGTTCTACTCCCGGCTGTAGAAAAAAAATTATTCATTTTATCAGTATTTTTTAAAATCTTGTGTTAGAGATGAAATTTTCCCCCATGTGATTCCCTCACCTTGTTGAGGTTTTATCCATTATTGAAATAAAATATAAATGAGTTTTGGTACTTATCTTGAAAATTTGTTCACCAGACTTCAAATTTCAAATAATTGTCGTCTTCTTCTCCTTCTTCTTCTCCTCTTTCTTCTCCTCCTTCTTCTCTTTCTTCTTCTCCATCTTCTTCTCCATCTTCTTCTCCATCTTCTTCTCCTTCTTCTTCTCCTTCTTCTCCTCCTTCTTCTCCTTCTCCTCCTCCTTCTTCTCCTTCTCCTCCTCCTTCTCCTCCTCCTTATTATTATTATTATTATTATTATTATTATTATTCTCCTTCTTCTTATTCTTCTCCTTCTCCTTATACGAATTATACGAAGGTTGCCTTTTATGTTTCGGGATTTGGCAACCCTGGTGGTTGCAATCTGGCAACTGACAGCTCTATCGTAAAGTTAGATGTTTTGAGGTTATACATACTCAGAACGTGTTGACATACGAGCGCTATTTGTGTTGTTTACAGTAACTTAAAAGATTCATCTTGGCCCCAAAATGGAATTAAATCGTGAACATTTTCGTGCGATTATTTTTTACAACCTTCGACGTGGATTAACTCAGCAACAGTGCATGGATGAACTTAATTCAATTTTGGTGATGAAGCTCCATCAAGGACCAGTGTTGATCGATGGTATGGTGAATTCAATCGTGGTCGTAGTTCACTCCAAGACGAATTTCGCGAAGGTCGTCCAAAATCAGTTGTTTCGAAAACCATTGATGCTGTGCGTGAACTGATATTGCAAGATCGTCATGTGACATCGAGAGATTGAGACAACCTTAGGCATTAGTGGGACCAGCATACATTCAATATTGCATGAACATTTGACTGTCAAAAAAATTTGTTCGCGTTGGTTCCCACACAATTTGTCAATCGCTCAAAAAACAGCTCGTGTCGATTGGTCGAAAGAAATGCTCAAAAATTACGATCGTGGTGCTTCGAAACACGTTTATGATATCGTGACGTATGATGAATCGTGGCGTATGAGCCCGAAAGTAAACAGCAGTCGCCTGTATGGATGTTTTAAGATGAGCAAAATCCAACAAAAAATGTTCGCGCACGATGCACTTCCAAACAGATGGTCGCCTGTTTTTTCGGAAAAACGGGACATGTCGCAACCGTACCACTAGAACAACGCAGAACAGTCAATTCTGAGTGGTACACAACGATTTTTTTGCCAGCTGTCTTCCAAGAAATCAGGAAAACCAACCGCGAAGACGGATCACTCTTCATCACGACAATGCGAGCTCTCACACATCGGCTCAAACAACTGCTTTTGAGCACCCAAAACATCGATTTCATGAGTCATCCGTCGTATAGTCCTGACTTAGCACCGAATGACTTCTTTTTATTCCCGTACCCGGTTGCTGCATTCAGAATGCATGTTTTGGAGATACCTCAATCAGAGTGGCAAAAGTGCTTCGACAATTGGATCAAACGCATGCAAAAGTGTATAGATCTTCATGGGGAATATTTTGAAAAACAATAAAGTTATTTACGGTGATTAATATTTGTTTTTGTTCTCTAATCCTGAAATATAAAAGGCAACCCTCCTATACAGGAAGAAGCATTCCAAAAATAAACACAATTATGCCCCAATATAAGTTATGACAAGAAATATGAGATTGTATGCTGTCATCACATCAACTAAGGAAAGTTACACAAGTTATAGCATGTTACTCCAATTTTATGATCTCTGACTTCGAAAATATTGAAGATTCTGTGGTAGTTGACAGTCTGAGCACAAGTTAAATAATTATATCTGCCTTATTTTTATGATCTTCTGTAATATAATGAGCTTAGTATTAAATATTCTGTATTTTGCAGATTAAAAGATCACAGATTAGAAAAGGAATGGTGATGATATCTCCTTCTTTAAACCCTACAGCTTGTTGGGAATTTGAAGGTGAAATTTTAGTTCTTCATCATCCAACAACTATTAGCTCTCGCTACCAAGCAATGGGTATGTATGATATAATAAATATTTAATTAATGCGAAATTCTTTTTGCAGTTACTTTTCAGAATTGCTTTTGGTTTAATTACAGTGCATTGTGGAAGTATTCGACAGACTGCATCAATTCTGTCTATGTCCCAAGAGTGTCTGCGAACTGGAGACAAAGCACTTGTACATTTCCGTTTTATAAAACATCCAGAATACATTAAACCTGGGCAGCGAATGGTTAGTAATTTTATATTCATTCATCTTTAATGAAAATAATTTTGAATGATAAATTGTTGTCTGTTACTATGGGAGTTAAAATTACTAACAGAAAAACAGTAGCACCACAAATGATTTTGTGTATATTTTTATTTGTTGTACAAAACATTTCTTCGAATATTTTCTTCAGTTGGGCTTGAAATTAGTGTTTAAAAAACATGTTTGCTTTAAATGACTTTTTGGTTAATGGGCAGGTATTTCGTGAAGGACGTACTAAAGCTGTTGGTAATGTTGTGCGGTTAATTCCGCAAGCACATCCAGGGGCCCAGGTCTCTCGTAGCAAGCCAAATAAGATGCAAGCAAAGCAGCAGAGCTCTTCTGTATCACACACATCTATTCCTGCACATACATGTGCTCCTTCTGCAGCAACTCAGCAGGTGAGATGTTACAGGTTTAAAGCTACTCTTTGGCATTGTATTATGATTTTCTTGTTTACTGTAAGCATCCTCAGTGACTACTAATATTACTATATGAAGGGGCAGTTGTACTATGCCGGAATAACTCTAAGAATAGTTATAAGTGTATTTGCTTGTTCTGAAGATCTAACTCTGTTGTACAATGAATTCCAAGGGTAACAATGGTTTTTCATGTGAAGAAGTCTTCGAAATAGATAGTTGGTGTCTTCTTTGAAAGTGTTTTGTCAAAATATTTCTTCTTTGCTTCACTCTTCAAACATTTTTGACAGATATCAATCAAATTGTAAATAGAAGCCTCGAAACTGATCATTTTTACTTTCCCATATACATATGTATATACGGAGTAATATATTTATAGTATAGTATAGTATAGGGGAAGTTCTGTAATGTGCAAAAAGACGGCGGATTTTCGACAGAAAAAAATTAATTGTCGGGCCATGATAACGAAAAAGTGGATAAATCCAGTTGGTCAATTAAGAAAAAAATTCTTGATACCGAAAAATCAATTGACGGCAAAACGTTCGTCTGTGAACATTACTAGCGCCTAATCCATGCGTAGAATTTTTTCCAAATTGAAGAAACCCCTGTCCATCTCGCATGAGTTGAAGGATTGAGATTTTGAAACACGTTCTTTAAAATTTTGGCATACTTAACACAAAGCCCTCCAGACATTTTAAAAATTTTCTTAAAAAAATGCTCCAATTTTTTTCTTTAAATGTGTTTTAAGAAAATAGTAACATATACTTCCGATTTTCACTGTTGTCTCTTAATTACCGAAAATTTCAAAAGCATGAATTTTTGTTGTCTTCCCACAACCACAAAATTGAAGATAGGTTTTTCCTTCAAATTAAATTTGTTGTCCCTAATTAGTTCCTTGATTAAAGTCTTGTACGTTTTTTGAAAATTCATGTAATTTTTGCGCAATATTACAGAGAATATTGCAATTTGAAAAAATTACAAAAACAAGATTTTTTTTTCAAAATTTCTGAAATGAATTTTTTTTGATGTATCTCTCACATTGTTAATATTTATATTAGTGGCGATTTGTTTACATTATTATATTTGAGTGCATGTGCTTTAAATAATGTCATATAACGTTTTGGCAGAAATCTCATCCATTTTCTGTGAAAACTAGCTCAAAATTTCGCATCTTCAAAAACGCTCAAATGCGATTTTTTTTAAAACTGCTCCAAATATTTTTTTCAAACTGTTCGAATGAGTAGTGCTTTAGTTTAAGGTATTTTTTTGTTTTTTCTAAAATTGTTGCCAGATGATCTCTTACTCTATTAAAATGCACATAATATACGCACCTATTTGTAAACACTATTGTATTTATTGAGTTAATATCCATTAAATAAAGTTTTTCCAAAACTATAAACATTCCTGTGAAAAAGTTTCAAATTTCAAATTTACTGTAGTGCTTAAACACCATTTTCTTAAAAACTGCTCTAAATTTTTCAAAGGAATCACCATTTAGGACGAGGTTTTACTGTTCTTTAATATTCTTAAAATAATATTTCTGTTCTACTATTAGGAAAGCGAAAAATTAAGAAAATGTCAAAAAAGAATGTACTTTTGGTGGCGATAGATGGCAGCTGGCAAGAGTTGGGCAAGTCAAGACCATGTCGAGCATGTGGCAAGTCTAAATAGCTAGCTGAGACCAAAGGAAATAGACAACTATTATGGGTTCTTAGATGCCACTTTTTGTCCTCTGATAATTGCTTCAATTCATGATCCCATGTGGGTGAGCATCAGGTTTCTGCTTGTTCTAGACTTCTTAATCTACACGTTGGAAGCCAGTTTCATAAAAGCATTCACAGTAATCAAGAGTTTAAATCAACAAATGGAAAGGCTGGTAGAGATTATTCACTACTCACTTTCATACAAAAATAGGCAACTCTTTGAAATTTTCCAATTGTGCAACCATAACCATGGACGGATATATTCATATCCATACCGTGCCTAAGGCAGCAACATTTTTGGAGCGGTACGAATTGTGGACTGAAAATATATTTATAGAGCCTCTTTATCATTGCGGGAGATTTTTCTTTTTTTTATTTTAAACAAAATGATTAAATACACATAAATTAATATATTAACAAGCTGGTAATATCTTGTGCTTTATGACTAGAGTGAAGTGAAAATTACTTAATATACTCATAATCACTATAAATTAAGTTAAAAGTTATACAATTAAGATTTAATTCCAATTACCACAAAGGAGTGTACATGTTACCTCGATTCCAGTTATCTTGATTGGAATTCTTAAGCATAGTTCACACCTAACAGTCGCGAATCATGTGTATCACGAGAAGTCCTAGGGATGTCCCGCTTTTTTGATGTTTAGAACTGTCGCGGATACAAAAGTTGCATATCACAGGTCTCCCAAACAAAATGGGATAAACAAATGTTTCACAACATGACGTAGTGGACGTGTCGCAATTCGTTGTCTCGGAACACACCAATTCCAGCCTGCAGATCTGCTGCAAAGAGGTGCCAAGTGGTGTTGTGTTCTTAGTTCTATTATTTTGAAATGGAAACTATTCTAAAAATTGAAGATTTACACACCCTCCCTTGTCTTTGCGATGTTAAGTCTACCCAATACATAAACAGACAAAAGGGGGGAAGTAATGGAGTTTCTGACTAAAAAATCCACTATGTTCAATTATGAGATGAAGAAAAGCTTCCACAACATTAAATCACAATTTATGCGAGAGCACATACACATGCGGAATTCAAAAATAAGTCACTCTTCCCCCAAAAGTCAAACTATTTTGGTCACCAACCTTTAATGTTTTTAGTGCAATGCATAGAATTGAGAGGATGTACTCATAGAATCATTGACAGCAATGAAGGCAAGGAAAGTCGGTCAGTTATTGAAGTAGGTCTCTATTTTATTTTCTTCAAACAATTAGATTTATTACTTATTACACATTGACCTTTATTTTAATAGGTTTGTTTTCTCAACTAATAGCTCCTTCAGAAATAAGTACATAGTATATAAATAAAAATTTGATTATATTTTACTTTTAAAAATCCTTTTAACAAAGTAATAAGGGTTTCACACCCTTCAAGAATGATGCATGAAATAGATTGTTTTGAAATTCTAAAGGTATGAAGTGGGAAGAAAGGTTGAAGTTGGTAATAAGACGAGTCAATAAAGATTCTCTTTTTGGAAACAATTCAATCTGTGCCACAAATAAATGGTCATATGAATGGGTGAAATCCAGAACGGTATAAGTGACGTTTATACATTCTGAAAAAACTCTTTATTTATGTCAGTATCACTATAAAGTCATGGTGCTTTGTTTAATCATTAAAACCATGGAGTTTTAATTGCTCATTAAACAACAAAAATACATTACTACTGAAATATAGTCTAAAATAAACACATTTTAATATAATAATTTATAAAATGTCACTTAAGCCATTCTTGTTTTCACCCATTCATTTGTAGGGGTTGTCATTTACACAGGTTTCAGTGTACAATAAAGATTTCCTGTATCCACAGGAGAACAAAATTGGTCTCAATTTTGTGTTTGTACAACTGGCCCTTGAAGAGAATGAACGCTATTAACAACAAATTTTCCGGGGGAGTTGGCCCAAAGCATCAACTGATGTCACTGCAATTCCTCTGTCCGGGAGGCTCTAGGTTCGAGTCCCGACGGTAGCAGGACTTTCGACACATTGTCAACTAGATCGAATTCAGTCGCTGTCTGGAGGAGAATTTCTAGCGGTCGGCCGCTCTGATCGGTAGTTTTCTGTGGTTTCTTCGATCAACAGGCGAGTGCCGGAGTAGTACCCTAATAAATGGGCCACAGACCGCGCGCGATCTTGCCTCCCTCTTCCTTGTCCAATCCTCACCCTATACACACACTTAGCTAAAATGCACTCCACTATCACAAATGCCGGGAGACCAGTCGGGAGCTTAGACCTTGTCCCGGCCGGGACGGTGGTCCGCTGGTGGTAGATACCTGGTTGAGGGAACTCCGCTTGCCGACGGTAAATCGACGCCTGGTCTCGCCATCCAGCGGGAGAAAATCACTGCCACTTTCCGAGGGGTAAACATCCACCACATTTACGGGACTAATGACCTCTGTAGTTGAGGTGCCCAGAATCAGTAACAACCAACCAACAATATTTAAAAAAGAAAGGAACACAGAACAAACAGTCTGTGTGCATGCGTGTAATTGTATTCATTTTATTTCAGCTATGCTTTGCTTTGTTGTTATAGTATTCAGCTGGAAATAATGCAGAGCCAGGTTTTCCATTTGAATCTGCCCGTGAGAATTCTGCACCACGCTCCGGCCGCAAGAGCAGAGGAAGGAGAGGAGGACGGGGTCGAACAACAGCAGCAACTGGTACTCCTCAGAAGATCATAATTGATTCAAGCAGTGTGGTTACTTCGCACAATAAAAAACTGTAGTGTACATAAATAATTTTTTAACATTGAAATTGGTATGCTATCTGGCAGAACAATAAAAACATAGAAATAGATGTTGTGATATTTTTTTGAGAAAAAGTTTGTGAAAATGAATGTGTGTAATGATCTCTGGAAGGTATAATACCTGAATTGTCTTAATAAAACTTGTTGCAGATCTGGTTATCACTATTGAGAATCTAAAGTTTTTCATTACAGAACTGCTTTAGGTGGCAGAGGTCGTCTCCATGTGAGGAAACTCTGAGGGATTTGACCTTTTGTAAGTGTATAAGAAATGTTTGAACAGAACACAAACTGCATGTATTAACTGCTGCATTTCCGCTTGTTTTGAGTTTGCGAAATTTGAAAACCTTGCAATTCATTGCATTGCATTGCATTGCATTGCATTGTTGCCCTTTAAGTATTTTGTGAAATTTTTCAGTCTGTCTAAATTCGTTGAAATGAAAACATGTCAGTAATGATATAAATTTCATGCCTTTTGAACTTGAATTTTGTTTTTCAAAAGCATTGTAACCAATGTGTATAATGTTTCATATACATTAAACATGCATGTTCTTTCTATTCATTTTCCAATTACTTCTATTGGAATGGTGTTAGATTCCGCTGACATTAATCCAGTCTAGTAAGCAATGCATACCAAGTATCCATTTGATCAGAACATTTCTTGTTTGCACAGGGCCGCCACTTTCTGAAAAGAAGAAAAGAATACTTCATTGGACTGGAAAAATTAGGGAATTTTGTTAGAAATCAGTTTTCATTTTACAAACTCCATATTATTAGAAATACTTTTTGATTTGATGTCATTCAATAATCGAGATATTGCGGTATAATATCGATGCATGCATGAAATCATTGAAGACCGTACGTCGAGCATTGTACATTGTACATTCCCTGGCGTCTGGTTGTAAGACGACGCATCGATATGTGATTCGCTTTCTTATGTTTAATTTTGTGACACACGAACTTCTCTACTAAAATCGAGTACCATTATACATCAACGTTGCCAACATCGGTTGGTCGTTCCCCGAGCGTTGTATCACAAATCATATTCCTCTCAATGTACGCAACGACCGATAAGTAGATTTTGAGCGACTACTTTTGCACGGTTATGGTGCAAGATGCGACATGACCAGAGAATTTGTGAAGAAAATTAATATTTATAATATATTAATAATCAATCTTGAAAAATATGCTTTAATTTATCGGTTATTGCTTTATATTATTTTTGAATTTGACCCTCCTAATTGTAGTCTCCATGTTACAATAGTTGAATTAGGCAACATTCAGGACAAGACATTTTTTATTAACTTTATCTATCCAGAAACGAGGAGAATGTTTACTGGGATAGAAAATGAAATCATCGATTTTTCAAATGAACGAATTTCGGAATAATCATTGAAGTTGCTGGTATTGGTTTCACGGATAAGTTGCTTATCTACTAGTATTTGACAGGATTGCGAGGGGGTACTATCGCTCGCTTATCTGCAGTCCTGTAGACTTCGTGATTCTGTCTTTGTTTATAAATGTATACGCGCACATTTTATTAATTTGCACGTTGCGGGATACTAGTTGGATACATTTTTGACAATACTGAGTACTGTATTTATCACTTTTGGTGAATTTATTTTAATTTAATATGTTTTAATTTAAAAATGTGTATTTGATACGTGCTGTTACGTTCTTAGAAAAGCCTGTTGATAGTCTTCTGGTATTGCGTCCAGTTCTTATCCACGCATCCTGAAGTAGGGATTATTGACAATATTACGTCCAAGGTATAAATTTTTGTAGACTAAAAAATGAAATAAGATATTTTAATAAATTGAGTTGAATGAGGAAGGAAGTTAATAAATATTATGTGGTTAAGGGGGGAAGTAAATTCTTTCAGAAATCTTAAAAGTATTCGTCGAGGAAATTGGTATGTGTGACCTAAATGAAAAGTGTGGGATTGTTGTAAATCGTCCAAGGGGTTGAAGAATTTCTGGCTGTATTACAGAGTAAATAGTATAGCACTTAACCTAACACGGTCGACACCATCAAGAACATGCACGCGTCGCGTAGTACGTAGGTAACTAATCAGAGAGAGGAGTTAACGCTCAAAGTTTCACGAAACTTTTCATTCATACGAAAAGAATAAATTGATTGTGAGAAGTAGTTCGTACCTGTACCCGTGAGCAATTGCTCTAGAGTACTTACTTTTATTCGTATCACCCAATTAATTCAGTGGAAAATATTTAAAAATTCCTTTATGGTTCATGCCCATCGAAGAAAAACTTGATATTAAGAGACCTTGAAAGCCAACTCCGTTGTCTTCAAAGTTTTATTGAAAATGTAAAATCATTTTAAAACATAAATTACAGACGAAGTTGAAGTTTGTAAGCCAAGACGCAATCCGCTGTTTATAACCAATCAAGTCTGTTCTTTGTGTGTCGTTCAACACTTTTCGTAATACTATCTTGGAAAAGTAATACTTTACTGTACCTTTTCCTTTTAATACGTAGGAGCGCAATGCAGTCTTCCATTTCTAATCTATTGTTGCTCGAGACGCGGTAGTTTCGTTTCTACATATATTTAAACATGTTCCACATTTTAAGATGAATATTTTGGAAATTGCAATGCTACAAGTTTTGACTTGATTCCCATGAAAACCAATATCGTTTGGGAAAGAATATCAATATTTTCAACATTGGCGTCGTCAGTGTATTTTCAGAACATTGACAAAGTATTTATTATATATATATATATATATATATATATATATATATATATATATATATATCAGTATATTGACAAAGTAAACCGTTATGCTGGTGAATGCAAAAGAAAGGTCTTAGGCGCACTCTTCCAAATCATGGAGGACAATATTCTCAATGTTGAAACGATATTAACGAAATTGTTGACATCAAGGTTAGTATTCCACATTGCCATTTTTACTTTCTCACACTTACTAAGAAGAGGAGAAAGTATTTTAATTGATCGCCGGAAAACGGCGAATTTTGGACACAAAACCTTATTGATGGGCCCTGGTAACGAAAAATCATTCCAGGTCCGCTACCTTCACCTCTGAGGAGACTTCTTCCATTATGACCTTTCGCCGACGATATTTTTTCCACGGTGCTTGGTGTTGGAATTTGTAGCATTGAAGCGATATATTATTTTCCAGGACGTGGTATTTAAGTTAATTATATCCGAGGTTCAAGTTCTCTATAACCGCATCTTCTTACTCTTATTTATAATTTTACGTGAAATGGGACCAGTGACCAAAGTTCACTATAGCCGGAGTTGACTAGCAGAATTTTTGAAATGGGACTTTCCTGAGCTCTACATAAGGCATTGTTTTCGATGATTATCGCTCACAATCAGTAGCATAAATTGACGCCCCATCCTCAAAAAAGTTTGTTCAACTAAAGAAATAGTGCCAAAAACTAATTGAAAGAAACTTTGTTATTCATAAAATTCATAATCGAGCTCTTGGGACTTTTCTTTAACGAACTTACCTATAACGTCGCCCAGGTTCGCTTTTAACGAGTTCGTCACTTTACTCTCTATGGGACAATATGCTAAGGTATTCTAGTATCTTCTGACACATCGAATTTCGCAGATAAATTAAAAAAAAAACTGTTTTGAAAAAGAAAGTTCTGCAGTATCAGCCGTCAAGGGAATCGTTAGAAATACCAGGATTTCTGTGCAGACCTCTGGAAAGCTATCTGGAAGAGTGGAGTACTGAAGACCAAGTTAGCCAAATCTGATTGGCTTTTTGAAATTCGATCTTTCAGACAACTACGCAAGGATAATTAATAGCTGTGTGAGCAGAGAATGAGGAACGTCATAGTATTTCTCGCTAATTTTTTCACATTGATTCACATTTTTTTTGTGTGAAAGCAACAAAATTTGTGGGTGAATGACCGCCAACGAATCGATTTCATTGAAGCCGATAAATCGATGGCTCAACTGTGAAATCACAATATCTAAACAAGCAAAGGAAACCTTAAATTTGTATCGTTTTTCGCCGTTACTTACATGTTCATCGAAATAAGGTTTTTTTTTTTTTTTTAATATAATTTTTTTGACTTCTCGCGTCGTTAATATTTACATTAGTTGCGATTTGTTCACATTATTATGTTTATTAGTAAATGTGCTTTAAATGATGTCTAATAAAATTTACTGAAATAATTTTCTGTGAAAACTAACTCAAAATCCCACATTTTCAGGCACACAATAATGAAATTTTCTCAAAAACTGCTCCAAATATTTTCCTCAAACTCTTCGTACGGGTAGTTCTTGTGGCATTATTTTAGATGACAGAATTAATTTTGCTGTATTTTTTGTTCTTTCAAAAATTACACAAATGTATTTTTTAATATTTCTCACTCCGTTAATATGTACATTTCCAGCAATTTGTATAATTATTTGCATTTGTAAGTGGAAGTGAAGTTTTTCGAGAACTTGAAAGATTTCTATGAAAAAGTGCTTCAAATTTCGCATATGCATTAACGCTTACACGCCTTTTTCATAAAAACGGCTCCAAATTTTTCAAGTATATGCAATTTGAAAAAATAAAACATGGTTTTCTCAAAAACGGCTCCAAATTTTCTATTTAAAGTTTTGGCAGGGATAGTACTAATTGTACTGTATAAGATGACATAAACGCTGTACATTGTTTTTTTTTTTTTTTTTTTTTTTTTTTTTTTTTTTCGAAAATTACTTTTTTTACTTGCCTATGGGTAACTGAACGTGGTGAATTGTCGGATACATTCGAACCAAATTTTCTCAAAGGTTATAGAAAATGTTTCGCCGAAATTCTCCACAGGGAAAAAGAGTTTAATTGTCTCCGATAATCCAAAAGCTTGATTTCGGCCAAAATATTTGGGGAACAAAAATCAAATAACGCTCAAAAAATGGACGCGTTTTTTAATCACACAGAATAAAAAGTATCTATTGGCACAAAAACGAAACGTAAACCATCGCATCAATTGAAAAGTTTTGTAAGTATTTTGTTTTGTATAACATTTTACGAATTATTGTAAATATTTCCCCAAACGTGAATATTCGAATTCGCCAGTGATTTGGCGTTGAAATTAGTTACCATGATAAGAATGTTGTTATTAAAAAATGAGTTTCGATCCAGTCGAAAATATGAATCCGAAAGCCATTTATCAGTGGAATCTTGAAATAAGCTATAATATAAAAATGAATCGCAAAATGTGTTGGTAAGCGCAAAACGCAACAACGCCTGGACCAATTTGGACAATTCTTTTTCTTTTTTTTTTTATGTTCGTTGAAGTTCAAGGATGGTTTTTACGTCGAGAAAAATTCGAATAATTGCCGGACAAATTCCTCTGAATAAGTAATTCCTTTTGCTTTTTCTCTATATCAACGTTTTTCCTAACTTAAACAACGTATAGAGTCAATCTTGCGCTTTATAGTTATTGAGTAATAATAAGCACTTATTGTTGTTTTAAACAATGTAGATATGTTTCCTAACGTCCCAAAGATGTTCAAA